TTCCTTCGCTAAAGTGAGCCCAACTACTAATGCCTCGTATTCTGCTTCGTTGTTGGATGCTGCGAACCCGAACCGGAGTGCGTATTCCAGTTTCACCCCACTTTGACCATACAGAATTATGCCCGCACCGCTTCCTTGCTGGTTGGACGAATTGTCAACGTAGAGGATCCAGGGCTCCTTGTCCCAGGTCGGACCTGCTCTAACCGGGGTTGGTGCCGCGCTGGTTGAAGCTTCCTCCGTGTGCTCGAGCTCGGCCAGCTCGAGGGTTGTAGTGCTGAACGTGCATTCTGCCACGAAATCGGCTAAGGCTTGGGCCTTAATTGTCGTCTGAGGTTCGTACCGAATGTCGTACTCACTGAGTTCGATAGCCCATTTCGTCAATTTGCCGGACACCTCGGGCTTGAGCAGGACCTGCCTCAGAGGCTTGTTGGTGAGGACGACGACGGTGTGGGTTTGGAAGTATGGATGAAGCTTCCGAGATGCTATGACTAGTGTGTATGCCAACTTCTCGATCTCCAGATACCTTGTTTCAGCATCCTGCAAAACCTTACTAACATAGTAGATGGGTCGTTGGACCCGATCTACCTCTTTTATCAGTGTCGAGTTGACCACCTCGTCACTCGTAGAGAGGTACAGTTTTAAAATATCCCCTTCCTAGGGTCGGGTCAGAATCGGGATGCTAGCTAGGTAATTTTTCAGCTCATCGAAGGCGAGCTGACACTCCGCGGTCCATTTGAAGTCTTTGCTTTTCTTTATGGCCTTAAAGAAAGGTAGGCAGCGATCTGCCGACTTTGACATAAAACGGATCAGAGCGGCTATGTGGCCATTCAACCTTTGAACCTCTTTTAGTTTGCGAGGTGGTCTCATATCTAAGATGGCCTTTACTTTTCCAGATTGGCTTCGATGCCACGTCGGTTGACTATGTAGCCCAAGAATTTACCCGAGGTGACGCCGAAGACACATTTGTTGGGATTTAACTTCATGTTGTATTTTCGTAAAATTTCAAAAACATTTTGCAAATCATTCAATAAATATTTTGAAAATTGAGTCTTAATGACCATATCATCTACATAGCATTCAACTTTATTGTCGATTAATGGCTCAAAAATCCAATTTACAAGTCTTTGAAAGGTTGCCCCAACATTTTTTAGTCCGGAAGGCATAACCTTATAGCAGTAGAATCCAAGCTCGGTTATGAAGGCCATTTTTTCCTCATCGGCAGGGTCCATCCTGATCTGGTTGTAACCCGAGTACGCATCCAGAAAGCTCAGCAACTCATGCCCTGAGGTCGCATCCACTAGGCAGTCGATCTTGGGCAGTGGGAAGCAGTCCTTTGGGCAGACTCTATTCAGGTCGGTATAATCGACGCACATGCGCCATTTACCGTTGGCCTTTTTTACCAGAACTGGGTTAGCTACCCAGTTCGGGTAATGGACCTCCCTGATGAAGTCTGTCGCTAAGACCTTCCCGACCTCTTCGTCGACTATCCTCTAGCGCTCTAGGGCGAGGTTGCGTTTTTTCTATCTAATGGGCCTGACTAAGGGATCGGTATTTAATTTGTGAGTTAGGACTTTAGAATCTATGCCAGGCATTTCTGCCGCAGACCATGCAAATACATCTAAATTTTCAAATAAAAGACTTACCAGCTGAGAGCGAAGTGGTTCCTCGATCGAAGCGCTGATYTGGAGGGTCTTAGCTGGATCATCTGTTGAGACCGGGATGTGAACCGTCTCCTCTGTTGGTGTAGCTCGCTCCTCGGCATACTCCGTAGGTCACTCAAGCTCGACATCAGCCGCTAGCTTGGCTTTCCCCTTGAGGGCGGTGATGTAGCATTTGCGAGATTCGAGCTGGTCACCTCGCACCACCCCTACTCCATAGTCCGTAGGGAACTTCATTGCCAAGTAGTAGGTGGATACTACCGCACGTAGTGCATGCGTAATGGGCCGACCTACTACGGCATTGTACGAGGAGGGAGTTGCGACCACTAAGAATGTGTGCTCGAACCTTGCAATATTTGGTCACGTGCCGACCTCTACGGATATTGAGACTCGCCCTGGAGGTTTGACCTCCTCACCACTGAAGCCTACTAGGGGAGTGTTTGTTGGCTTTAAATCGCTTGTTTGGAGCTGCAGCTTGTCGAAGACGTCTTTGAATAGAATGTTGGCCGAGCTACCCGAATCCACTAGGACGCGCTTGACTTCGAAATCATTTATCCTCAGCTTTATCACCAGGGCATCATCGTGAGGATATTGGATCCCGTGTGCATCATCCTCCATGAAGTAGATAGGGTCTTCAAGCTTGGGTCGCTTCGGCGGGTTCTGCTCCTCGTTTTCCAGTTCGCGAACTAAAGTTCGACCTACTGCCGAAGTGCAGCCCGCGATGATGGACCTGCCAGTAATCATGTTGATTACTTCGCAGATTGGCCTTTCTTCGGGCAACTGTCGTGGCGGATGCTCACTCTGTCTGCTGCTGGACTCGGGAGCGTTTCTTCTCTGATCCCCATGCCGGTCCATTTGGCGGTCTGCTTGGTTTCTGTCTTCTCTTTGTATAAAGTTTTTTAGATACCCACGACGGATGAGCTCCTCGATCTCGTCGCGGAGGTTCCTACAGTTCTCTGTACTGTGGCCGTGGTCTTTGTGGAAGTGACATAAACATTCTTGTTCCTGGTGGCGGGATCTCCCCTCAATCGAGGTGGCCACTTCATGTAGGAGGAGTCTTTGATTGCCATCAGGATTTCTCCTCGCTTCGCATTGAGGGGTGTATAGCTCGTCCTTTCAACAGGAGGGATTCTGGAACGCTGACCCGACTTGCGAGATCGCGAAGAAGATAGGCTCCCAGACTTGTCAAGGGGTGGCATTTTGAAGTCCTTGGGCATCGAGGTCACCAATAGCTCAGAGGACAGAGGGGACGAGCCGAAGAGGAGAGTAGCGGTCTTTGTGATTGCCAAGCTCGCCTCCTCTTTACCTTTTACTTGTTCCTACTAGTTGGGCCTTGCGAGCTGGCTGTTCTGAGCTGAGGTTCGGCATGCTTTGCAACGCCTTCGCTGCTGCTTCTTTGTCGGCTCCGCATTGGTGCTACTAACCTTTGTGTGGTCTGGTACTGTTCTGGCACAAGGTGGCTCTTGGCTCTCTGGATGTTGAGGTTGACTGCCATGGATGAAAGGGCCTTGCCTTGAGTTCACGGCCAGAACCCCAAACCGGTTACTTGCAATCGAACATTCTTGATGCGATCACCGAGGAAGAATGGCCCTGGCAGGCTGAGTGTCACCAAACCTATTTCCGATGTTGCCCTGTGAAGCGGGTGAAGTGACCTGCCCGTCTCTCCTGCCGCGAGGTGAGACTTGGCTCCCGAGAGGAAGTAGAACCTGGGAAGTCTCCTCGCCTTGGTGGGGAGATCGAGTGTTCTGTGCACGAGGCCGGTTCTACTGAATCGCTGGATGCCGGGGTGGAACCGGCTGTTGGCTTTGCTGCAGTTCTGTTGATAGAACTGGTAGAAGACTTGTTGCTGGTATTGTTGAAATTGTTGGACATGAATGGCCCGCACGCAGTGTACCAGGTCGTCGAACTGGGATTGCTCGACTCCGGGGGGAACCATAGATGGTTCAGCAAAGGTTGCACCAACTATAGGAGGGAGTGGTGTGTTCACCTGCACAGAAGCTTGCAGCATGGTCAGTGTTAGAACCCCAGCCGCAGTGAGCGGTATGGTGAACTGACCGATGCAGACTGATGGAAGTTGAGGTTTTCCCCCAGAGACATTCATTTCAGTGCTCTGTCCGGCGTGACTGGAGGATGCCATTAAATTCAGATTAGTTGAGTGTGGAGAAGGCTTTTTGTAGCGGTTCCCATAGACGGTACCGATTGATGTAGCACGATCTGACTACTCCCTCCTGGAGGATGATCTGGCTTCCAGTCGGACGGCGAGCTAAGCGGATCTGCAAAATAAGATCAGAGAACTCGGAGTGGCTAACTCGGCGAGGTCGCTCCGATGCTTAAGTCAGTAGACTGCTACGAGCTGAGATAGCTTTGAGAATGTAGACAGCTAGAGAGCAGAGAAATCACGCGTACCTTGAACCATTGGGGGTGGAGCCTTTATATAGTTGAGTCCTCGTGGGTTTTGCGGATCGGTTCCGAAATCTTCATCACGATGAGATCCATTTCCGCTTTGATTGGGGGATAATGTTGTCAACTGATAAGGCTTATTAATGCCGCCCGAACCGGGCGTGGAGGAGATAAGGCTTGCCGTTATGCAGCGTGATCCCGTGAGATTTGGAATCCGTTGGAGGGATTTCCGGGATCATCACGTAGTGGTCTGAGTCGGTGTCCCCAAGCTGATGCTTTATAGTTTCGAACTGGATTGAATGTCGAGGTGCCTTGGAATTGAGGTGATCCTGTTGCGATCTTGTACCGAGGCGATCTCGTCCCGAAGTAACCTTGTCCTGAGGTGGTTGAATATCCGAGCTCGATCTGTTGCAGACTGGTCATATCAGGCTGAGTTGTCATCTCTTGGTCAGGTCGTGTCCACATGTCCCCTCTTTACTAGGTCGGGCCAAATCACCCTTCATCACTTGTCATTCTCTCTCTTATTATTTGTTCTTTTCTTCACTCTTTGTGGATCAGAGTTAGACCATCAATTTCAGAGAGTAAGTGTTTCTCTTCCCTTTCTCTATTTTATTTTGAAAATTTGAAGAAAAATAAAGGGTAAAATAGTCTTTTTCACTTTTTTGTTAATTAATCAATTGTCATAAACAATGAAGATAGTGTTAGTCAATTTTCAAATAGTAAGGGTACACTTAATTAATTAGTTAAACCATAGGAATAGTTTAAGAAATTTACCCTAATTAAGAATGATTAAACTAATGCAATAAACGGTTCAAGTTAAATTTAAAAACCTGTATAATTTTATGGATTTGACGGGTCAATTTAGTGGATCCGTAGACTGTATGAATGTCTTAAAAAATGGCAATTTATAAATAGTAATAAAAATATTAGTTATTAGTTTCTGCTAGGCCATTAGAGATTTGATTCATTCGTAATCTTTGCCGTTGTCACGCTCGTCCAACACGTCCAGGTCGGAAAAGCCATCTCTCTCTCTCTCTCTCTCTCGATCGCTCGTTCGCTCACTCGGAATACAATTGAATTCGCTGAGATGCCTGTAAGCCTTTCCCTTTCTATACCTCTTTTTGGACCATGATTTAATGTATTAATTCTCATTAGCTGTGCCCCGGAGATCAAATCTGGTATTTTCCGGAAATAAGTTCCAGAGGTTCTTCTCCGGAGTTAGGGTTTTCCTATTTCAATTCATGCGGGTTTTGTTCATGTATATTGCAGCTCAGGAGGCTCCTAGAGGTAGAACCACCGAGCCCGCTGAGGTACATCATCGGAGCCATAATCATGATGATCGGAGTGGTTCTGCCCGTCGGATACATGATGTTCCGTAACAAACGTGTCCCATCGTCTTCTTCCTACTCCAAACAGACGTAGGTGTGCCTTTATTTTTTCTAGTATGAATGCTCATGTTTTTATTTCTTAGTTTGTGCTTGAGAGCATATACCAGTTCTGTATGTATTTGTTTCCACTAAAAAGTTAAGTTTCAATTTCCCCAAACATATACCAATTCTTAGCGACAATTTGCGGATTTGATTCCATCATTTTTCTTCGAGTTTCTTCTGTAATTTCTGTAACACTCCGGAAACTTAGGCATCGTAGCAAACTGGTCTGAAATTTTGAGATTTTGTTTCAGGGGTAAAGGCTGGATGTAGAGAAATCGGGATGGATTATAACTTCTCAAGTCGTCAGTCGCATGTAAACCGGGGTTGGTCAGAGATGAAGGGAATAAAAAGACAAAGCGCTGATCACTAATGCCGTTATTCTGAAACTGCAATTTTGATACGTGTATTGTTAGGAATTTTAATGTGGAAAAGTTTTAGAATGAAAAATGTCTCCTGCTGTTTCGTTTGAATAGTTTCATTGACATCTATCAGTGGAAAATGTGTCTGCCATTTTCTTTCTGACACTAGTTTACATATCCCCATCTCTGTTACTTGATCTTATTTGTGACAAGGGGGATTTGAATAATACAGGAGGTCACTGGCTTCGACCTCTTTTAGTATTGACATTTTCTAACCTTCCAATTTCTGGTTAGGGTTTGCATCAAGGTTTCCTTCTCCACTAGGCCTCTTAATGTGTTAACAGGAACTTGTTTCAAAAGATGTTAACTAATAGGTTTGGTGGAGATGGGTTATTAATTTCACATAGTTGCATTGTTTCACAGTAGAGTATTCTATGTTTGATCGGATAGGGCGAAGAATTCAAATATATTGTCTTGAAATTTGGTAGGAAGATGTCTACAGAAGGCGCAAAGGCAACACAGCAACAGTTGAGTAAAAAATCTTGGTTATGTTAGGTGAGGATGATTTTAAGCAAAGCGGTGGCTGTGTTTAGATTCAATATTTGCTTGATCACATTGGCAGTTTCATGAATAATTTGGTTTTGTAATCTGGTTGGTGAAACAAGCTAAGTAGGAATGGTTAGTTCAAGCCACTCAAGGTGTGATCATTTCATCTGTTACGTGTGTAATTAAAGTAGATCCTCATGCACCTTATTCAGTAGTCCTTGAGCATTATTACATAGTTCACCCACTTTGTTTCTGTATGGTTTTGTCTTATATACTGATACTTAATACATTGATTAGGGGTTTTCTTGAGATAGATGTAGAAATTATTTGTCAATTGGAGGAGGTCATCTACTGACCTTTTATTGCTGAGGGTGGAATCGTGCTGTATGACATGGAGATCTTTGAGACCCAAAAAGATTGTTAGCTGATTCATCTGGACATATATCCTGACACAACTCTCTCAATAAAATTGTTCTTTTTCTTAAGCCTGTAATGTAACTGTAAGATCTTGGATTCTCAGGCCAAGAATTTAATAGACTTGTAACAATTGATAAACTCAATAAATGGATTTTCATAGTCATTTTAATTGTTTAGTATAATTAGCAACATCTATTATGTTTCCTTTTTCATCAACTACTGCATTTTCTTTTTGAGAAAATTTAACCAAACTACTGCATTGCTTGTATAAAATAATTCTTTTTATAGAAAATACAAATGGGAAGATACAACATACACACCAAGAGCTCCTAAAGCCTACTTTTTGTGTTCACCAACTCTGACCCTTTTGCATGTGTCAAATTCCAATATTCTTAGACATAGGTATGGAGCATAGATCTGCTTATATCATAACAGAACTAAATTAAAAGATTGTTTTGTTAATGCTGAGCCATTCACTTTGGTGGGCTGCATACAAAAACTTTGGTGGGATTGTCTATGGTTTTTCTGCAATAAAAAAGTAACCTTTACTTTCTGGGTCTAGCCATGTAGAAATACCTACTATCTTATCTGAAAGTATCTCGGGACAAAAATTTAGCTCGTTAAAAAATAGTTATTTGTTGTGGATAGTTGCAGGAACATCCGCATTGTTTTGCTGGCACACATCCTATGAAGCATGTTGAGCTCCAGTCAAGAAGGTACCTGGTTTCAAGAGACATGAAGAGAGAGAGAACCTCTAGTATCACATAGATAGATAGATGGCTATGGCATTTTTATTGGTTTCAGTTGTTACTTCTCCTAACATATGATAATCTAGGGTGTGTTTGGCATAGTTTTGCTGATGTGGCAGTTGTTTTTGTTTTCAAAAACAAAACCAACCATGTTGTCAAACACCCCCAGTCTTCTATCAACACTCTGTACCCAATTGCAAAGACTTGATATTCTAGATTATAAGATTGGTTACCACTAACAGCAAACTAAAAAATAGAAATGCATTATAGAGAGCATCTATGAGCCACATTTTGTCTCTGAACTTCAGAATTGGAGGGAAAATTTGCTTTAGAATCGAAGTGGACTGATGCAGTCCTCACGCTTTGATGCTGAAAATGTTGACAGAAGGATTGCCTGGATGACGGGATGAAGGCCACCCAAATATGCCTGAACCTGACTTCCTCAACTTTATCATCATTCTTTTCTTTTTCCTTTTTACTTTTTCATGATTGTAGATAATTGGGTTGCAGGGGTTTCCATTGATGATCTGAAATATTGACATAACGTGTTTTTTTATCTGGTCTGTATTTCTGATTACCAGTATTGCGTAATGGCCCTTTTTCAATGACCCTTTGTCCATTAGAACCCCAAGTCCCCATCAACCTGGCATAGCACGAGTCTCCTCTAGCCAAGAAAATTAAAAGCTTCTTGACTCGTGGTGGTCTTAAAACCCCATTCAGCAATCTTTTGTGCAGGCCACATTGAAGGAGATTCATGAAAGAGTGCCAAATATGCGTGTTGTGGTTTGAGTTGAAGCATAATGAACAATTCAAGTCATATCCGATTCTTCAGTGGCCTAATAAACAATGCAGGCCCGATTTTTAAATATTTTCTTGTTAATATGTGCTTGATAAGGATACATGGGTACGTTTGGTTCGCAGCCGGAATCGGAATTGGAATGGTCTATTCTCATACTCTGTTTGGTTCATACAGGAATGGGAATGGGAATGGGGATGTGTGGAGTGAAATTTCATTCCCAAGGGAGGAACAAGGAATGACCATTCTCTCAAATGGGGGAATGTCATTCTAGTAGGAATGGGAATGAGATTTTGATTTCACTCAACCAAGCAGTTGGAATTGGTATGGCCCATTCCGATTTCGATTCCAAACCCCTATTGCTACGAACCAAATGGGGCCTATTTTATTAGGTGTTTAAAATGAATTAGCCAAGGTTCATGGTATTGGAAATGCAAAGTGTATCGTAAAGATAATTTTAAGAGATGTATCGGGATATGCTTTGGATATGCATAGATACGGACGAAAAATTAAGATACACATAAATACGTTAGGAAATTCAAATATCCTAAAAATATATTGATGATGCGCGATCCGGTCTGTCCTAGTTGCCGGTTACCTCGCTTCTGACGAGATCGGAGGTGCCTGAAACAAGAAAGAAAATGGAGGCTTTTGGGGAGGAACCCGGTTGGGACACTCCGAAGCTCAAGTTAGTGTTTTTCAGAAGGCAAGGGGAATGAGGAATTCTAAGACCAGAAAACGCAAGAATCACATACCTTCTTCTTTGTGGGATGAGGGCCTTTTATAATTACCCTGTACACACTTCCATGCCTCTACCAGTTCGGGCATCATTACCTCTGCCAGATCGGGTCACTTCCTCTGCTCGATCGGGTCATTTTCTCTGCCAGTTGCCAGTTCGGGTGTCATAACCTCCACTATCAGTTGCCAGGGCTGTCTCTGTCCGTCTGGGATGGCGGTGGCAGGTGGCCGTTGGATGGCGGTTGTCATGTGTCGGTCCCCTAATCAGTCATGTGCGCTGCCTCCGGGTACGGTCTCCTAGGCGTTGGGTACGGTTGTTTAGTCAGGCAACTTGGAGCCGAAGTGGTGCGCGAGGTGAAGTCTTGAGTTCGGATAGAAGTATGGCCCGAACTGCCCCTGGGCGGGTAGTTCGGGTCTTTTGCCTTTGGTACTCCTTGTAAGGTTCAGGACCTCGAAGGGAGAGCTCGAGACTCTTTAGTTCGGAGCTCGGTTTGTAGGTTCCTTCGAGGGAGCTCAGCTCTCTTTAGTTCGGAGCTCGGGTTGCAAGTTCCTTCGAGGGAGCTCGACTCTTTAGTTCGGAGCTCAGGTTGTGGGCCTGCTGCCGTGCCGAGCTGGCGTTTCTGCCAAGTCACTCTTGGTTGCTTCCACGTGTCGCATGGCCAAGGGGTCGGGTTAAATCTTCCTCCATCATATATTATTAACAATAATTACAAAATTTAAATGATTGTAAATAAGTTATTTAAATGTAAAAATCCATATTTACAATCATTTAATTGTAAATAATTACAATTAATAACTGTTCAAAAATGACGGAATAAATAAAATGTGAGAAAACAAAAAAAAATCTAAAATATGAATGTTTATACATCAATTATCAAATAACCAATATAAATGTTATGTGTGTACATCAATTTATATTAATATTTATCAGTATATAAATTTTAATAATTAATTGTAGTATTTTTTAATGAATATCCATTAAAAAAAGAGAAGGTTTACTTAAAAATAATAATGCATACGACCATAACAAACAAATGATTGTGGCCTAGTGGTGACTTATGGTTGTTAAAACCTAATGACTAAGTTTGAGTCTTTCCATTATTTAAAGTCTGTTGTTTTTATACTAACAAAACAAAATTAATGAGACAAGATCATTAATTAGCGGAATTAATAAGGGAATTCGAATTAGGCACTAAAATTTAAATTTAAAGTAGGAGAAGTTGACTAATTAATGAAAGAAAAGTTAGAATTAAATATATAAGTAATTAAAGAGATTAATGAATGAAGGGTACCTAGAAAAAAATCAAGTGTATCGGATTGTTTCGATCCTGTATCAGTGTGATACATACGAAAAGAAACAAAATAGATGATTTTCAATTCTATACGTTTCGCATATTGAGATCTTGTCGAAATGATACATATCGGCCGATATGACTCAATACGTTGCGGAATTTTAAACCTTTAAATTAGCCTAGGTATTTTTTTTCCAAAAAAATGGGGTGTGCTTTTTTTTAAAAAAATGTTGCAATCAGAACAAGACAATTTAGAGAAAATATTACTCTAAGGTAGGGATGGCAATTTTCCCCAATTCCCTGATCCTCGTGGGGATCCACTCCAAATGAAGCGGGGATGGGGATGATTTTCCCCCTGTGGGGATGGGGAAATTTTCATCCCCATTAGCAAGGACAAGGAGAGCACTCCCCACGGACCCCGCCCCATGGGATCCCCACTAATATATATGTATATATGTATATGTGTACACATACATCTATATATTAATATTTTAAAAAATGTGGCTGAATATATTTGAATCTTTTCTAATAGGATTGTAAATTTTAATTATTTTATTTTTATTTTTTTAAATAAAATAAAAAACAAAAACAAAATGATTAATATTACAAAAATCACGGGGAATTGGGATCCCGGTCCCAACCTTATCCCCATTACCGAGGTCGGGAATGGGGATGGGAGCTCTTAGGGTTTCACTCAAATACTTATACCACCTGGGGTAGGATTAAGACAATTATTTTACCAAAATACCCTTAACAATAAAAGTATTAGTTTGCCTTTATATATATATATATATATATATATATATATATATATATATATTTGTCATCTCAAAATTAATTTTATTTCACTCTTTTAAACCCGATTTTAAAAAATAAACTCTTCATTTATGGTGGGAAAAGTTTGTTCCTTCAAGCATAAATGTACATACAACCAATAACCAATGGGTGAAATGGACATTCGAAAAATTTTTAATTTTAAATGCTCAGTCAGCTTCATATGGATGGACTTACCATTTACGTCAATATACCAAAATTTCTGGAGTTTTTATTTTCTTTGAGGCATGCAAAATGTAGCTCTTAACTGTGTTGGTTCATGGAGAGAAAAAAAAATCAGAAAAGCAGACCGAATGGGGTTAATTCGAAAGTAGTAATATAGCCCTAGTATTCACTTTAATGGTGTTAACGACTAAAATTCATGATCATGGAATATGGGCCTCAAAAATCTCAATTCATTCCTTTTGAATGTAAAGATAGAGAGAGAGAGACGGAAGCCCGAAATCAGAACCGAACCAAACCTTATATAAGGTCTGTAATTGTAGATTTAGAATCGAATCGATCAGTTCTTGAGACAATTGAACCTGACCCAACCAAATATAGATCAATATCTATCCATCGGTACCAGATCCTTGAACCAAAATCGGCCAAATGGTCGGACCCGACCCATTAAGGGATCAAAAGAAGGTCAACCTTGATTTTCTTGTCATTTTCGGGCAACCTTTCTTTTCCATGTCTTAATTTTTTTTCTTGTTATCTCAAAATTGAAGAAAACTGTATTTCCCATAACGGGCCCGCGTGTCCTTCTAACTAACGACCAGAGTTGTCTGCTGACTCTACTCTGGTTGAACAAGTAAGTCATTATTCATTGAATAGGTTGTGAGCTCCTTAATGGCCGAACGGAGCTTCGTTGAATTGATAACTAAACAGTCTACACTATACTCAGAAATTTTGCTATATAACTATTTTAGCCACTAAACAAAGCGGTAACTCATTCAGTTTCAGGTTCAGCCACTTCACTTCAGATTCAGTCCACCCCTTTTTCTAGCAGATCCGGACTGTGGTAATATCAAGACAAACTAGCTAGAAGGCTAGAATCCTATCAACTGTCAAGAAGAAAAATAAATAAATAAATAAATAAAGAAGGAAGAAAAAGACTGTTCAATCGTCTCCGGTAAATCTTAGCTTGAAGGACATTACATAAAAATTCAGGGTTGAGAGATTCGTTTATTTATTTTTGGAGGTCATAGACTCACAGAGGACGTGGCTCGGTGACTCGTTGAACTTCCGTTTTGAAGAGAAGAAAGCAAAACTTGTCGATCGAAAAGTAGAGGAACCCTCCTCGCGAGTGAGTGACGAACGATCCAAAACTCTTCCCAACAACGCAGTGCCAGGCTGGGCCGTACAACGCATCGAATTCCTGCCAAATTAAGGCATCATCAATTCACCATGGTTAAGGGACAAAGCAAGTACATGCAATCGCTTTCTGCTTTCTTGATGGGCTTCTGCGTCTGTGGTCTCAATACGAAACCCAAACGTTAACGTACATCGACTCCTCATTAATCTCCGTTTCCGGAGATGGTCACCCAAATAGATAACTTACATCATTAGTTCTTTTCCAGAGCTGAATACCATCTACTCAGATGGGTGGACTGTGAGTAATCGATCTATAGCTAAAACAGTTGGTGGTTAAGATGATTTTTTTTTCTTATTTTAGATAAATTCTACTAAATCGTACCTTCTTGAGAGCGAGAGCCATGAGGGTGGGGTTAGGCCGTGAATTGTTTGAGGCGGCATCAAGAAGTGCTCTGGCCTGTCGGAACGCTCTCTCTTGCATGGTTGCCGGCATATCGGCCGATTTCAGCCGTATGTTTAGTTCCACAGCAATTGCTGCCAACTTTGCCTCCGGAGGCATACGCCGAGATGGGTAGAATACTCCCTCCTGTTTTTTCTTTCCGTCTTCGACTTCCATGTCCTGCAGGCTGCAGCTATTTTCTCCAAGAGAGAGAGAAGTCGGTAGCTGAAACTGAATTTTCGAAGTTGGTTTCGGTGAACTTTTGACTGTTGAATTAATTAATAAATATGTAAGAGAGAGAGAAGTAGGAGAAAATATGATTCTGTATATTAGGGACCACATAGCTCTCTCATTGTCTATCTGATATCAATTCTCAACTACCAGTTATTACAGAGGTTCGGTTATCGATTGAATACATTGCCCTCCCTTAAAATGCAATTAATCATCTTGGATCCCTTTAAAGCTCAGTTTCGAAAGAGTAGAAATACAAATATCTACATTGCAAATACATTATAAATTCATACAAAATATAAGATTTTATATTACATATTTGTATTTGTATTCCTTCCATCATCTTATTACAAATAGCGCCAAATGCAAATATATAGAGTATAAAATCTTATATTTTGTATTATTTTATTATGTGTTTCAATTATATATAACGGTTAATGACAAGGAAAAACAAAAGGACAAAAATATCCTTAGATATTTTTTAAAATTTCGGAATATGCAATTGGACATGTAACTAGGCCCGCAGGTCTGACCTCGGGCCCAAAACACCAAGCCCAATTGTGTGTCGGGCTGGGCTCGGGATTTGTTAAAAAAGCCCGACTCGACTCATTTATATAATATAAAATATATAATATTTATTATAATATATATTAATAATTTAATATATATATACATATACATTTTTTATTTTTTTCTTTATAATTTCTCTCTCTCTCTCTCTCTTTGAATTTTGTACTTAAAAAACAATAAAAATATCAATAAATAAATACTAATAAAACATAGGATTAATATATGCAGTGAAAGTTGAATTAAGATTTAAGATTAAGAAGTTTTATGAGATTTTGAAGAATGGGAAGATTGGGTTGGGGCCAACCTGGGTTAGGACAAGGTTAAAAGTATTTAGTTAGAATAAGGGTTAGAATTGGGTAAATCGGGTTATGGGTTTAGAACTTAGGATTGGGTTAGAATTGACATTAAGCCTTCAGTTTATCCGTTTAGTGAGACAGACCAGGTTCCAGGTGTTGACCCTCTCCAGAAATACTATCAAGTATCAACATAGCAGTTGACTGTTGAGTGCCAAGTCAAATGCCCGTCATCACGTTCTTACGTTCCTACTTCATTCAAGTCATTAAATACCGTGTGTCCGTGTGCCATTTGCTGATATGGAAAATGTACGAGCAGCTTAGAATCATTCCAGGAATGAAGCGAACTTACATCTCCTCTGTTGTGCAGCCCCACGAAGAATCATGAAAAAACAAAAACTTACATCCCCTCTGGTTTTTAGGCAGTGATTCCGCAGCTAAATCAATGTGCACCTCTATTACTCTATACCGTTACGATGTGAAATTTTGACGTGGAGTGGAATGTGGAATTATCATGGTGGTTTGCATTAACATAAGCCATTTCCAAAATGCTTATTGTTATTTATTAGCACACTTACATCATCAGTCCATTAAGAATATCCCACAAATCGACTAGACTTACGGCTTTCTACATAGGAAACGGAGAAAACTTAACTGATTCAGTTACCCGGACATATAGAGAGTAGTGCTGCAAACAGATCAAAGTATTCCTGGATCCAAACTTGATTCGAAAAAAAAAACAAAAAAAAAAAAACGAATATTTATCCATTGGTTTCGTTTATGTATTAATATTATATATTATCAAATAAAATGAATTGAAAATATCTTGTACAAGTCTAGAACCTATAACTCTTCAGTAACCATACGATATACAAACCAATTTTACTAATAGATTATATTATGTAATAAAAGCGTACATACTCAAATATTTACCGAATTCGACGAGAATGACTCCATATTCGATCCAATCACCCTTGCATGGATTCAAATTCCAATTTAGACAAACAGAAACCATTTATAGCCCTACGTGGGAAGTGAATTCAGTGATGCGAGTGAAATGTGTTGGTCCATAGAAGATACCACATTCTGAACCAAGTGTGATAAGTTAGCAGAGCTATCAGCTCAACGATCCATCGGTATTTGTACCAACAACTGATAATTCAACTAGACAATATTCATGGCATTACTACCTTTCAGACCACCTACCCAGAGCTTCCCCCATACGAATTTTATCCCCACGACTGACGCAGAACTTGAATTCTGATGAGGAGGTGTCATCATTTTGGAGAGATTTCGATACAGGAGCTTGGAAAACAAGCACTACAGTAGATCCCATATTGAATGCTGCCATCTGAGAATATTAAAGCATATTCAAGTTAAAGAGTACAGGAACAGCACAACAAAAGCAGTAACGGTAAGTAGAAAGCAGAATACAAGCTCCATGTGTGAAAGCACCTAAAGTCTAACAATCTAGAGTGCAAGTCTAAATGGATGGCAGAGACTGATTATAGATTACATGTAAAAAACATTTTTCCATCTAATCTTTCAATTCTTCAATGGATCTCGTTCATAAAATACAAAAAAAAAAAAAAAAAAAAACTCGTTCACCACAAAAAAATTAGTGAAAAAGCCTCTGTAGATTGAAGCAATCATGAGTTGCCCACATTTTAAATCATTTTCTTGTTTTCTATTGAAGTACATTACTCTTTAGGCTGTGTTTGGTTGCAGTGCAAATTTATTTGCACTAGTACAAATGCATAGGAATGCAAATGTAAAAAATGCAAATTCTTGTTTAATTTTGTTTTGGATTTTACTTTATTCTGCTTCATGKCTTAATTTAYTTYATTTKTAYYRMAATCAAACAAAATAAGCTAAAATTTGAAACAAAAATAGGTCAGAATTTACACTCAAATAATTTGCACTTCCATGGCTTTGCATCAGTACAAATTTATTTGCATTGCAACCAAACACAGCCTTGGAATTTAGATTCTGAAAAACATGATCTAAGTGCATTCCTAACCTCTTCACCCTTCTTGAGCATCACACCAACACCTTCAGGTTCATAGACACGTTCATCCGGGGGATCTGAGTGCAGAAACTTTTTTCTTGGTCTGTTTGTTCGCAGATCTGGTTCAATGACAAGCTGCCAAGTGCAAGCATAGACTTGGGTCATCAACTTATCGGCAAGAATAAAAAATCCAAGTATAATAAAGATTCGTATAAATCTGTAATGGTCTATATGCCTGCAAAGTACATCTGCAAGTTAGTAGACTTTGTCCCATACAACTAGTCCTGATTAGATATTCCTTCAGGCTAAGTAGCAGACAGAAACACAGGAAAGCACTCCATGTGAAAACAACATTTGAAGTTAACGAAACAATAGAAAAAGAGATGAGGCATACAAAGGAAAACTTAGCATTCAATCTCATCACATAGCCCAGAAAACAGCTCTGGTTTTAGACAGCTTTGAAATGTGAAAATTTGGTCACTAAGTCTCAAGGATTGGGAAAAGGAGATTATGGGACCGGAACGGAAGAAAATATTTAGTCATTTTTTGTTTCTTTTTTTTTCTTTTCTTTTCTTTCTTTCTTTCTTTCTTTCTTTCTTTATTTTTTTTTTGGGGGGGGATAGAAAAAAGAAGAAATGAGTAGTTGAGAGGATTCCACCCTAGATAGTAGAAATATGTAATTCTGATTTTTTTAAAGCACTTCATTATAATAAAATTGACTTCTTGTCAGTGCAAATATGAGCTTAAGAAAGAACTTAGCATAACACAAGCAGAAAAATAAAAGGAACTCAGCAGGTAATAAACCTCAATAGATCCAGTATTTGTTGCACCAATTGCTGCAATTGCCATAAACCCTTGGGCCCATTGACCTTCAAGAACAACCTGATGGCAAGAAGAACATATAGATGTGATCATGATACCAATGATTTTCCATTAAAACAATGTAAGCTAATATTGCTCCACTAAACTGTACTGAATTGATTGAACGCAAAAAGTTGAATTACTAGAAAGTATACCAAAATATAGCCCAAGAAGACTCTAAGATGCTGGTGTCTTTATAAAAGAAAGAAAGAAGAAAAAAAAGAACACTCTACATTAAATATCAAATCCATATAAAACATCAGATCTATACAGAACTTAATTCTACATGCCTTTCCAATCATAAGGGCCATCACCCAATCCTAGCCCTGGCTATCTGGGGACTTGGGAGGAATAGACTGGAGACAAACCTAACCTTTGGGATTTTTTGACATGGCCACTCTCAGATTCGAACCTGAGTTCTCATGCTTGTCAACCTGAGATACCATATGTCTTATCAACTGTAATAAACAAAAAGACATGTTTCTGACACAGCTCAAATTGTATCCCACCTACATGGATTAATAGATAGAATCATTTGCCCTAGGGTCACATATCCCATTAAGAATGATGGTCTAATAAGTAAATCTTTCCTCACTACCTGAACCCAGGTTCCTTTCAACCTTCTCCTTGTCACTTTGAACCTTCAACATGCACAACTTGACTGGTACATTCATTAGTAATTGTTTCACTTGAACAAACCATCACATTATGTTTTCCTCTATTTTATCACCAGTGGGTGTTACTGATCAATTCTTGCAAATTATCATTTCTGATTTTATCTTCTCCCCGTTTTCCTAGTCATCTATCCCAAATAATCATATGATTGACATTGCACAGAAGCATCCACATATAAATGAATGGAGGATCCACTTTTACCATTCAGCTTAGCTAGCTCAACTTAAAAAACTCTTAAGTGAAAAAGGAACAGTCAATCATTTCCAGAAAGATAACGTGTGACTTCAAATCACTGTGACTATATTGCAACTCCTTAATTAAAAACTTGTACCAAGTGACTTCTTGAATGCACACATTGTCTATTCAAAAAAGAAAAAAAAAATCCACCTCATTGAAATCTCAAAGGAGAGAAAAATAAATGGCTTCTCCAATGCATCATATGGTTGAATAGACTAGCTGCCTCCAGAGACTGCACTTGGTGATTTGAGATTTGTCTAAGAAATTAATCACCAGATACACTAGGAAAATGTTTTATCATTTATTATGTTCTTTGACTATACTATTCAATAAAAAAAAAGTGTCTTATTAATTTTGATTATGCCGATTGCCTCTTCTTCCAAGACCCAAAACCAATTCTAAACATCCACACATGCTAAACAAATTGTCTTACCCTTTCATTCTCCACATAGAGGTTTCTGATTGTTCGTGTGGCACGTTCATTCAAAGGGAAAAGGTGACCTGCAACAAATTATTAATACACTTGATAAAATGGTATTCGACCTTCATAGAATAAAAATATATGATATTATAATTGGTTAAGCAAAATTAACAAAAGAAATAACTTCCAGAATATAAAGGTTTTATGTTCTTTTGTCAACGTTTCTATAAGATTGATAAACATAGAAATGACCCAAGTTTGCAGCATAAAGTTTTAAACAAGTAACATTTACCACAAGTAATTGCATCTACTCGTAGATTTTATTTTTGAAGATAAATAAAGAAGAAAATTTATTAAGAAAGGAGCAAGCAAGATACAAATGCAGGTGATGAGCAATCACCCTGAAGAAAGAAGCAAAAAACTACGCAACCTTCCAACCCTCCAACTCCCAAAAAAAAAGGAAAAAAAAAACAAAACAAAACTTCAACAAGAGATAAAATACCTGTGGATCAATGATATGTAGTTTCAAAAACACAGAAAAATTACCTGAGAAATGGCGGCGAATAAAAACATGCCAATCAACAGGAGAGTGTACTCGATGATAGTCCCCAGGCTTCAAATATATCACACAGTAAAACAAACCCTTCATTGGGCTGTAACAAAATATAAAAATGTACATGAAACAATTAAGCATTATCAAACGTCTTCATAGGTTGCAGTGAACATAGTTCAAAAGTCTAGAAACACTTTAATACTTGGAATAACAAACTATCAGAGGCTCAGAACTAAGTTACCAATAAAAAACAATTAATCAGAGCTTAAAACAGTTGCATATCAATGATGCTGAAAAAGGAAATGAGAAAATACACTATTGTAAAGTCTCAATATTTCAGATTGAGAATCTAGAGATTCATGTATGAGTGAAGCATGAATTAACACATCTAAAGTGAAGACATTAAAAAGAGCAACAATTGCACCATCTCAAATGCTTAAGATCTTATCTTACTTTTCTTTTCTCTTTTTTTATCTTACATATTTTTTAGATCCTGAGAATTACAAACAGGCATTTAAACTTTAGAATGTAAAGTGCAACTTGATCACAGTACCATCTATCTCAACCAACCATAGAATCTATGGCTACTCACAATTTGCAATTTTAAATTTCAACTTTAGCATAATCCAGCCAAGAGTTTCTCTCAGTAACTAGGCATATCTAATCAGCAGATTTATGGAGGTCCCTTTCCTAATTTACTTGAAAATTAAAGCAGTATTATATAAAACTTATAGTATAATAGCTGAACCACATGATGTTTCTTGTCTTAAAACTTATCAGGCAACTTTACTAATCAAGAACTGATCAAGAACAATGTGATGTATTTCTGCCATTTCATACTTGGGTGTCAAGAATGGAAGCACTTAAAAATACCTGATACAATGAAAAGATTTACAATCAATCCCCAGTAAAACAATAAGAATATACACAGTATGATCGGATCATTAAATTCATGATGACTGTGTTATCTGCACAATGCAAGTATGGAGTCAATATGTTTATCATCCACATCACATTTGGAGATCTCCTTGAAGATTTGGATTTACTTTCTCCATATTTTTGGTTATTAATGGGTGACCCACTCAACTATTGAAGCTTTGTCCTGGCATTTCTGATGAAGGTGTTCAAGTTCAAGAGGATAGTTCCATAGAACTTGCTTCCAATTAACTTGGGAAAACCCCTTTTCCCAAAATTATATCTGTTGGAGAACCCACTCCGACGTGTTTGATGACAGAAGCTGATATATTGAGCAAGTAAGCAAGGATTTTGGGGCTATTATTTGTTTGGTAATTTATGCTAAAGGAGATTGAAGGAACCCATATCATGTATGTAGGAAAAATAGGGTAAAAAAACCATATTCTTAAGCCATCTTTAAAATATATGGAACCATGTACCCTGCCACTACTTAGTGTCCATTTAAGTTTTTGTTCATGGGGTTTTTCCTCTTCATTTATGCATCTTTTTTTTTTGAATAAGTGCATCTTTTGTACATAGCATCTCTGTATATTGTAACTATACTTGATACCCATCTAAGTTTCCTTCCCATCTTGCCTTTTTAATTTACAAGGTATTACATAAAATATTTAGACATTAAACGACAAAAGATCCAACAATCCAATAAAAAACAAGGGGGAAGACATCATGTTCTCCATGATAGTCACATTAACATGTTCTCATAGATCACAAGTTTCTACACTCTGTATTTGGGGAGTGAAGAATGTGAACAAATATTTAGGAACAGAAAATTAATGACTTTCCATTACCATGCTGGTTCAGGATTCCTCCTTCTAGGTGAAGCCAATGAGATTCGCCACCATGATTTTTTACTTGCTTCTTTTGTATTCTTCTGTTTGTTACTTTCACCATGTGTATCCTCTTGGACATTCATAGGAAGGAATGTACTTTCACCAAGAAGAGAAGAAACTGAATAAGAGAAACCTTTGACTTGCTCAATCATTGCACCCAATTCTTTCAGTTCACCTAATCTCAAAATGGTACCATCTACAGGACTGACCTATTTCATTAACAAATTGTAGCATCAGTCAGCAATATTACATGATTTAGAAAAGAAGCAACACCAATAAGAAGTTGCAGGAGCTGGTTACCAGTTACCAGACAATGAGGATCAGGGTCTATAGGCCTGCAGCCTGCTTTAAGTGTGCGAACAAAAAAATCCTGCAATGATGCATATTCATCCAAAGGTAAAGCCGCTTCTTCTAAATCTGCAATGAAGAACACAAGCATACTTTGATATCACAAATGAAACATGCAAAACAGAAAAAGGCTGGATATTCTGCTACCACATGCCTCAAGAATTCTCCAAGGTCAAGCCAACATCCTTGTTACCAAACCAATTGTAAAATAAATGTGAAAGTAGTAAAAGGAGCTTCATATTTTAAATCCATTTGGAACACAAGGTTTTATAATAACGTGGCTATTTGAACAAAGATTAATGAGTACTAGGTCAAATTATTCGGACATTAACTCCCTTACAGTAGAACCTTTCCCTTTTATGAGAGTAATGTTTGCATTGATATGCACAAGGGGTCATGCTTAATTGATGACTAGAAAGCAGAGGCAAGATAAGTTTTATCATTGAAATAACAAGGTAATTTCTGAGATACCATTTGCAAACTGAACTTTGTAAGTTGTAAGTAGATCTTACTAAAGTCTCAAATCATTAAGTATTGTTACCAAAAAGAGACTAAGTATTGTCTGCAAGATATAAAGAATTTTGTATAAGAAAAGGTTGCTTGGCAGAATTTGTTTAGGACATAGCACATTGGTCCCATTAGAGCTTGGAATTACTTTCATGGTTGAAGTTGAATGCCCACCCTCTTGTGGAACCCTAAAATTTCAAGGTGCACAGCTGTCACTATAGAACACCTCAAAACTAAGAAATCTCCCAATGCTGGCATTAGGACAGAAAGGATAATCTGAAAGAAACAACAACTGAATTCTGAAAGTCCTTTATTGTTATGTTCCTGTGCCATGATTTCTGGAGATTGGCATACCAGACACCTCAGAACACATAAATTGGCATTCATGACAAGTTCCACAGTAACAGTGCAGGTAACTTGCACACACTAATCCATTTTGAGAGGTGGACAGTATCCTCTAAGAAAGCCTGCCATAAATTGGAGAAAAATAATCATACTGTTCATTCTTTATTTTAATTTACTCCATTATATTGTATTTTAGCTTAGCATATAAATCAAGACAAGGCACAACATAATAACCATAGCTTCTTATTATTGATGTAAAAAAAAAAATCAAACAACAATACTTGAATGAAATGCCCGTGCCCAGCCTTTGTAGATTAAAGGACGCAAAGGAACAGGAATTTCCTGAAAACCAGAATTTAGCAGGTAAAACATTAGTGAACACAAAGTGAAACACATTAGAGTTCAAATTTAATTACAAGACAAATGACAATAACTGTAGAGGGAGGATATGTGAAACCACACATAAGAAAAACAATAAGAATCAAGAAAAAAAATCATACAAGAAGAAACAGAACTCAAAATTTAAAGCAAATGGAAATTTAACTATCCAGTAGAAAAAAAACAGCAGCAATATATTACCCACAGGTGCAGAGATGTTGATCAACTAGACCAGGCCTTATTTCAACTACTTCAGAGATCAGACTTGTCTCAATCTTGTCAGACTTGGACCAGATTGGACAGTTTGATTATTCAAGTTCAAACCAACCCTAGTTAAATCATAACAAACTAGGACCTTAGGTGTTTTCCTAACTATAAAGAGCTCCTTATAAGCTTTCATTTCAATAATAAATTACTACTAACTAGATCCAGAAACATAATAAAGTTTCTTAGCTGGCTTTTCCTTGCCTTGCCACTTACTGGGCCATCCATATGTTCCAACTTCCTAAATAAAATGATAAAAAGTAAAATCATATCCCATACAAGAAAAGATTCAATTGCTGAAAATATAGGCTTGTCTTGATGGGATCTAGCCTCTGAAGAGTTTCATGTCCAAGAACTTAGAGATTTAATGGTCAAAAAAGAAAAAAAAAAAGGAGAAAAAGGAGCTGAGAGAAGTAAACTTCTATTTGAACAAGAATTAACATCAAAATTATCTTAAATGCTATATCACAGTACCCCAGGTCATGATGCTAGGCATTACACTCAAGCACTAAGTCTCCAAAGGAGCTACTTTTCCTTCAAAATAACTTACTAGTACAATATTGGCCTGTATGTGACTGCTAAAGCAACTAAATTGTCAAGAATATAAAGCCCTCAATTGGGGAGAGATCAGAAAACTTATTGGCTATTCTACAATCATCTACTGCCCCTTCCCAAGAGGAAACTGTGGCAACGGATCTCCATTTATTGAGGAAATTAGACTCTATGTTTGGCCCAATAGAGATGGAGGGTTACTATGTGCCGGCAGTAGTCCAACCAGAGAAGCAAACACTACCATGGCTGAAATGACGGCACTCTGTTTTAATCTTGGGATTGTTGTATCGGAAAGCCCTCTCCTAATAGAAATAGAATATCTTTCAATGCAATTAGGTGAGGTAAAAGCTCTGTAATAATACCATGGATATTGTCTGACTCGGTTACTTGCTTAATTAAATCAGATAAATTCTAGCCTCCTGCCATACTATTTTGAGATGAACTCCAACTGAGCTAAATCGAGTGGCATACAACTTAGCACGAGGGGGGGGGCGGGGATGGCACAACTTTGCAATGGGCTCGTTCTTTTCTTTTGTTTAATATGCATCTTGGACATCTCTTTTTTGCAATTGGTTATTTCATCAACGAAATTTTTTTGATTGTTATTCACAGTGCCTATAATAGATCACTTAAATAGTAAGGGAATGCAGATTTAGAATCACAGCCCTATGTGCACCATCTATTTCTCTTAGGAGTGCAAATGGATTGGAAAGTTGGGCATATTTAAATCAATTTGATTTGTTAATATCCAAATTGAAATTGAATCATATCCATCAGATTTAGAATGGGCTCACACTTGACTCGGATGCTGAATACCATTAATAAATTAAACTAAAAATAATTAAAATATTATAATGTCATTAATAAAATAAACTAAAAATGAATTCAATGTTGTATATCATGAATAAAGTGACTTGAAAATAACCTTTACGAGACTTGAACATATGACACTTTAGTAAACATAAAACATTCAACCAGCTATACTAATCGAAAGTGGATATATATTGATTTTATGTGATATAAGTACTAGTGTAGAAGTTGAAATATTATTGGATTGTGGTATATCCATATTTGAACTTGATGAGGTATATTTGGTCGGCCCACTGGATCTTGACAGGTGGCATTCACTAGGGGCATTTTCGACAGATGGTAGTTTCATAAGAGAATTCGGGTAATTCCCACCCTTAGCGATTGTGGAGCACTTAATGCGGGTGCACGTCCTAGGCGCATTTACTCCTGAGCCACTAATGTGGGGTAGTGGTTGTCCGATGCCTCTCTAAGTCCCCCTATGTGACCGCGATATACGGGACGGTTACACGTCGTACATTACTCCCCACCTAGGTGACTCCTACAATAAAAGGGGCACTACTGTTAGAGGTACACACATACTTGAGCTATCACTTAAACTCTTGTGGTGACCTTGGGATTCCTTTGAGCTCTCGGCTAACTTGACCGTCAGAGTACTCATTCCTAGGAACACTCTCAGGGCCTTTGACGTCTTTTCATTCTTAGCAAGTGAGGCCCGCAGCCCTCGGACCTAGGAAATTACTCCACTGCCCTCGACTCCAGATTTGGCAGCATCAAAACTAATTATAAACATATTTAACTTCAATTGTTTTGATTAGATCCAATTCAAATTTGAATTCGAACAAACATACAATTTCTAGCTCAATTTCTCTCGTGCACTTATTTTTAGGGCTGCAAGTCGGATCTGGTTAGGTTGGGTCGACATTGACCCTAACCCAACTTGAGCTAGTGAACCCCCCCCCACACACACACACACCAAAACCCTAAAACTTCAAGTTGGGTTGGGTTCGGGTTGGCCCGACTTCACTACTTCCTTTTGCCAAATGTTCTTATTTCCTAGACTCAAGGGTTAAAGATAATTCAATTTTAACATTATTATGCATAAAAGAACATAGTTATCATGTTTTAAAAAAAACTTGCCTATAACTTTAAATGCATAAATGCATGCATACATATATACATAAAAGAGAATAATTGCAATGAAAATAATATATGAACACATACATATCATAGTTGTCAAGGCGACAAGGCGCCCTTGGAGGCTGGCCTCGCCTAACCACCAAGCAGTTTTCTATAGCGCGTTATAAAAAACTTTTATTTTCATAATTTTTTTAGGTTATAATTATAAAATAGACACTTTTAAACTAAAATATTCATTGTGTGCGTTTATATACTAATTTCTTTTTATTATTTTTGTTGACAGGTGTATTATATGTACTGTACACAGGTTTAGTACCTGCAGGGGTATTTTTGTAATTTTGTAGACCTATTGTGTTGTACGGCCAGTATAGTATAAATACAATGCTTCACTCGACTGAAGTAGTTCTTTTTTAGGCCTTAACTCAGTTGCCTCTTCTTCTTCTTCTTCCTTCCTCCTTTCTTCTTCTCCTTCTTCTCTTACTATCAGAGCAGGACCGTCCAGGCCTGGAAAACAACCAGTTGAGGTCTCTCTCCACTGTTGCGTAGAAGCTATAGTCCTGATGCTCGAAGACAAGAAAGAGGAAGCATTCTCTAGTGCTGCTGCTAGTCTCCACTGCCAAGTAGGGTTCTGCTACAAGAAGGCTGACTGTTCAACTTCCTAGYGCAGAAAAGGGTTCTGCTACAAGTTTTTTTCTTCTTCAGCCTTAGGTGCTGGTAACTGGAGTTGCTCGGCTAAGAAGACTGTAGAAAACCATCCCAAATGTACGAAGGAAGGTTCTGATCTGAAGARAAGTTTGAGTCCATGACTGTACTGCCTATTCACAGTTCGGGTGACCTAGGTACTGAACTAATTTTTGTTTCTGTTTATGGTTCTCTTCTTGTACGATTGTTGATGTCCCAAAATCTGAGTAGGGACTGTCCCCCTTCCTCCGATTGTGTGTTGCTCTATTCAGCTCTCTAAGGGACTGTTGATGAACCCTAGACCCTAAGTGACTGTTCGGCTGCCCTGGAAAGTGGATATCATCCGATTAGGTGTGGTGAACCACCACTCGTATTGCTGTTCCTACTGGTTTTTTTTCAGCCGAGAAGTTGTATTAAAGTTGTAAAACTGTAGGTCATTCAGACCTGGTTACACTGCAAGTGCAATTCGTATATTGTTCTGTGGACTCCTACACAGTGTAGGTCATACAACCTTGTACTGCAGCTGCAGTGTTTATGCTTGGTTCTCTGTGAAACTGAAAATCTACAAGTGCCTAGTTGTGGACTGTAGCAGCTCTGTAAGGCAGTGTGCCTTTGGTTGTGTACTTCTAAACCTAGAATCATGAATAGTGAAGATTCAGCTACATCCGGAATCTCCACAATGCTGAA